TAAACAACTATTAGCGGACCGACATTGGTGCCTTAGACCCACTTCTACTGGGAGGTAACTCACCTTAAAAGCCGAACAGAACTTGCTAAGGCCTAACTCCAAATATCAACTCTCTACTCAATGCCTACATTCACCAAGTGATCAAACTATCAAAATCCCAAAATACCTAAAATGCCCCTATAAGTCAAACTTGATCAACCATGATCAAAGTCACGGTCAACAGTCAAGGTTAATAGTCCATGTTGACCCAACTCGTCGAGTGTATCCATCAACTCGTCAAGTTCCTTTAGTTATAAGAAAAATCTAAAAAACCTTTGCCAACTCGCCGATTCATCTCTTCAACTCGCCGAGTTTACTCAGTAATCAGAAAGGTCGGGAGACCACGATCCAACTCGCCGAGTTGGATAAACAAGTCGTCGAGTTTTCCTTAGTGTTAACTCATCCAGTCACTTCCAAGCAAGCCTAATGGCTCTAAACCATAAATTTGGTTCCCTTTGGCTGAGATACCACATAAAGTTGCTAAGTTTACGTCCATGCATGGTATCAAGAGGCGAAAAACACTAAATCTAAGCTTCATAAGGGACCTAGGCACTACAAATAAAATGGCATTTAGTGACATAGAAAAATTGCCACTGAAAACCAAAAAAGTGTTACTAAAAGCAGCTTTGGCAATCAGCGACACAAAACAAAAGTGTCACTAGAAGCGCTCCCACTAAAAGCCTTTAGTGACACTTTTTGGTTGTGTCGCTGTAGATTTATGGAGTTTTATTACTGACACTTTTTATTATGCCACTAAAACACTATTGGGTTTTATTGGCATTTTTTGTGCCACTAATATAATTGCTAATATAAATACTATTTTCATGCTTTGAATGATACATTTTTTCACCACAAGAAAATTATATTCAAAAACTAGATCATGTATACAAAATAAATTGTTATTGTATAAAATAAAATAAAAGTTACACGCAATGAATTGTCTTTTGAATTTAATAATAATCAAGTATTCAAAAAAATCATAAATTGCTACTTATGTTTCATTCTCTACTATGTTTATGCTTACAACAATCAAGAAGCAATGAATAATTACATCACAATTTCATAACAATTTACGGACCTTATGTTGCCAGTATCATCTCCTTTTTTACAAGCATCCCACAACATCATGATCAATGTGGGACTTGGTATAAAATCCTCCCCGTTGTCTAAAAATCTAAAATTTCTACATTCCTGTGAAAAGTTATTTGCATATTCAAAATACAGCAACAATTAAATTTATATAATATAGATACCAAGTGGCAATTAGTGAATATATAGGGGTAATACCTTTTATGCAAAAATTGCTACTGGTCTTGTGCTGCTTTTAATACCTTTTGTTGTTGTAAAAATAGATAAAAATAAAAATGTTTAGGGATTTGTTCTCAAGTTTTGGTTACAAATGAAAAATCACTTGATTAACAGTGTAATGTTAAATGGATGGTCGAAGATTGCTCATAATGGACATTAAGTATGTCTGCATCAGCTTCTATTAGATCGAGTACTAGTTGTTCAGGCTCCACGATTATCTACCATTTTTTTTTTGTTTCATTTTTTAATGATATATGAAAATCATTGTTTGATTGGAAGGTGATGAAGTAATAAAATGTTTAAAAAATTAACCTAAAAATGAATTAGTTTAGCCAATTCACAAAGTTACCAATGTAAATATTGTGCGACTTCTGGTGCTGAGCAAATTAAAATTTGTGGAATAGAACCTACGTACATTTGCTCTGTGGTACCAAAGATCACAAGAAGATCAGTTACATTCACTAAACAAATATATCACATAACAAAAATGTTAACTAACTATGGGTAAAACTCTTATAATATAACCTATAAATGATTAAATATATGAGTAAAACATAGAATAGACAAACCCTTTCCTGTTGTAATGAGGGAAAAGGCATGGCAGGAGATAACATAGGTTCCCAACAACCAACAATTATTGTGTACCTTAATTTAGAATTTGCAAGATTTTGATAGAATTAAAACATATAATATTGAAGACGAAAAGGCATTTTATATAGAATTATGAATAAAATAGGACAAAACTAACATGTCATCTTGAATAATGATATATATAATATACCTTATGATCCTCCCTTAATCTTAAATTTTGTCCTTCTGAATTCAAAAAATCATTACCAACCTGCAAAAAACATGAAATTTAAATTACATAAAAACGAGACTCATGCAACTGTAATAGATGGTCAAGGAACACTAGCATCAGGGTGGTTTCAAAAGTTAAATAAGGTGGCAAGAAATTAATACACATTCAGCACTAAAAAGAGTTACAAGAACCTATATGGGTTTTAGATGAACTATACTGATAACTTGCTTGGGATCGTTCCTGTGGAACAGAAATTGATCATTCCAATTTCTTGTGATCACAGTTGAAGGACCAAAGAAAGGAAAAAAATTGTGATTTCCTAATATAAAATCTTTTTATGTTCTACCCAAAATCAAAATCGACTTGAGTACCATTTTATCTATTTTAACTGATTCATCATCTTCACCCCACATATTGATTAAAATATTAACTTTAACTTGAACTTTTTATCTCAGACATTTCATCAAACAGGTTACGTGCATCAGAAAACTCATCTCTATTTTTAAGCTCTTCATAAGTTACATCTAGTGCCCCGTCTGATTAATCTAATTCTCGATTTTCTCAAAACTATATCAACATTTACACCTAATCGGCCTAATAAATTAATCAATAACATGGCCAAATCTAATCATACCTTAGAATATGCTGATAAGGACGAACTGGGAACAGATAAACGAAGCTAAACCCAAAATAAAAATAAAAAAAACAATGATTTCATCCAAAGTCATCACAGGCGTATCCCATCTCCTGCTATAGCTTCGTACGACATGGTTACCTGACATTGGAGGTAACAACCACAAAGGGTTCGATGGTCATTAGGAGACGACGTGAGCTACCGGTAAGTGAGTGTCATTGATGAGGTGACGACTAGGAGGTGAGGCGTGAGCGATGGTGAGGAGGTGACGACCAGAGGTGAGCGACGAGGAAGAAGGGACGATGAGGGACGAAGCAATAGTGAAAATTTATTAGTTTTTCCCTTTCAAACTTTTCACTAAACAATTTGTTATATTTCAAAAAAATTCGTCGGGTGTTTATCGAATTTCAGGGGAGCTGCGTTTTTTTTTGGATATCTTTGAAACTTTAGACAGACAAAACTGCACAAATGTTCCTTGTGGTTTACAAAAAATTGTCACTTTGGTTCAAAAAAGTTTTGGCTAGCACCACAAGTTTAAAGTTTCCATTTTCTTGCATATTTGGTCCAATGGGTTAACTTCCGTTTGTTTCCCTCTGTTAAGTTATGTTTGACTAGTCAAATTAGGGGTATTTTGGTCATTCCCTATTTATACCCTTTATTTTATATTAATAAAGGAGAGTAATAAGAACGAATCCCAATCCATCTTCTTTGTCGTCGTTCTCATTTTGGTCTTCTTCAACTCTCCGATCGATTTCTTCAAGAAATTAAAATAAAAAATGGTGCTTTGTTTTTGTGGTAAAATGGTCATAGTTCGCACAGCATGGACTGATAAAAATCCAGATAGACGCTTCTGGGGATGCCCTACTGAGGTACGCATTTTTTTTTTGGATTTCAGTATAAATCTCCCATTACATGTTACGATCTTCTTTTGATTCTTAAATTTTGAAGGGATCCAAATGTCGATTTATTGGGTGGTTTGATGGTCCAATTTGTGAACGTTCAAAAGCTATTATACCTGGGCTGCTGAGGTCAATCAACAAAGTGAAGTCACAAAACACAAGACTCAAGTGTTACCTGTTATGCAGTTGGGTGTTGTTCGTGTTTGTTCTGGTTTATAAGAAGTAGATTGAAGTGTAATGGTTTGGGTGGTTTGTAAGTGTAATGGTTTGGCTGGTTTCTAAGCAGTATATTGAAATGTAATGGTTTGGGTAGTGTTTTAAGGTTTTTGGTAGTATCTTGTTTAAGCAATGTAATCTTTTGGGCAATACTTTGTGGTAGTCTTTTTTGGTTATAATGTAAGCAATGTAAGACATGTTTTGCAGGAATTTGTCAATGGTGATTATATTTGGTATGTACATTTTGACCAATTTATTTTGTTTGTGGTTTTGTTTAAAAGGGCATTAGTCAATTTATATTGGGCAATTTTTTGTAAACCACAGGACCATGTGTGCAGTTTTGTCTTGTGGTTTTGTTTAAAAGGGTATATTGGTCTATTTATTTTGTATATGGTTTACACATTATCAATAACAAATGTATGTTTTGATTAAAAGGGCATATTGGTCTATTTATTTTGTATGTGGTTTACACATTATCAATGAAAAATGTATGTTTTGTTTAAAAGGGCATATTGGTCAATTTATATTGGGCAAATTTGTGTAAACCACAGGACCATGTGTGCAGTTTTTGTCTTGTGGTTTTGTTTAAAAGGGCATATTGGTCTATTTATTTTGTATATGGACAAATGTATGTTTTGATTAAAAGGGCATATTGGTCAATTTATATTGGACAATTTTGTGTAAACCACGAGACCATGTGTGCAGTTTTGTCTAGTGGTTTTGTTTAAAAGGGCATATTGGTCTATTTATTTTGTATATGGACAAATGTATGTTTTGATTAAAAGGGCATATTGGTCAATTTATTTTGTATGTAGTTTACACATTATCAATGACAAATGTATGTTTTGTTTAAAAGGGTATACTGGTCAACTTCTACAACAAAAAATTATACATTACAATAACATCAAGACATCATTACATTAAATCCAGTGTAAATTGTTCCCATACATCACAGGGGTACACTATCAAGTACCAAAAGTAACATCCAAAATGGTTAAACCCCAAAACACAGAAAGTACTAAACATACAATACACATAAACATAACATTATCCCAAAAAGACACTTATACCCCTACAAACATCAAAATCCCTTGAAATCCAATCACTTACCCCCTTGGCCTTTGCAAGTTCTAGCATTGTGCCCTTTAATTTTACACTTGCTGCAGGTTACTTGGATAAACTTTCTTGTAAGCTTTCCACTCCTACTAGCAATATTGCTTTGACTCCCACTACCACTAGCAACATTGTCTCCCTTCTTCTGGCTTTTCTCCTCAGCAGAGTGCCTCCTCTTTTTCTTTGGCCTTCCAGGCTGATTTTTGTGTATAGGAGGGGTGATTTAATTGGGCATTCACTTATAGGCCACATTGCTCGACCTTTAATAGGCTCTACCTTGTACACATAAGCTGCTTTCCATGTTTCTAGCCAGTGCACCCTGTGGGCATAAGTGTGCAGTTCTCCAACTTCCTCACCATTATCTGCTTTGTCATTTAGGACTGCAATGACATGCTTACAAGGGAGTCCTGTTAATTCCCACTTCCTACAACTGCATACTCTTTCAACCATATCAACAACATGTTGATCCTGCCATGGCCCTTGCACTTGGTATTTATCTGACCCATTCCACCTAACTGTGTACTGAGATGCCCAATTCACATTCTTCTCCATGATCTTTGTTGCAGATGGGGTTAGTGGACCAACACACTTCTTTTGAACCTTTATGACATTGCATATTCTTTTCATCATATACTCCCTAATGTACTCCAAGCAGGATATCAGTGGCTTGTCCCTTCCCTCAATCAATTTGCTATTAAAAACTTCACAAAGATTATTCAGAAGCATATCTGAAACTGCTCTGCCTGAAAACACCACAATATTGTCAGGATCAAACATATACTAATACAAAAGGATCAAACATATACCAACACAAAAGGGTAAATTTGGAAGTTGAAGTATATACCTGTGAAGTGGCTTCTTGCCCAATGTTGTGGGGGAATCTGCTTCAACCAATTATAAGCTTCTACATCATATGAGCTGAATTGATGCATCCTATGATTGAACTCTGGTACTGTTGTTGCTGTAGCACAATTCCACAAGTGTTCTTTGTACTCATTAGTTCTCCATGTTTTTCTCATATTGTCATGTATATGCCTAAGGCAAAACCTGTGCTCAGCACATGGGAACAACTGAGAAATGGCAGTCTGCAATCCCTGTAAAGGAATTAAAACATAGTTAATATAGCACATCCAAATATGTCAAATATAAACAACAAATTACAAACCTTTTGTCTGTCACTTATAAATGTGAAGTTTGAGTTTGCATATAGGTCCAGATCATCTGCAATACACTCTAGAAACCACTTCCAACTGTCAGTGTTCTCAGTCTCAACAATGGCATAAGCTAGGGGTATATTCCATTGTTGGAGTCTACCCCAACTGCAGTTAAAATTTGTCCTGGGAAAGGGCCCTTCATAAATGCCCCATCAAAACCTAAAAAATCCCTCAGGCAAGCTCTAAAGCCCTTTTTCATTCCACCCAAACACACGTACATCCTTTTAAACCTTCTTGAGGTAGCACTTAGGTTGGGTTCTGAATCAAACTCTAACTTCACAGTGGTTTCTGGATTAGTAGACTGCAACTCCAGGATGTAATCTCTAAGAACATCATATTGCTTTTTGTAATCACCCTGGACAAGTTTTTTTGCAGTTGATTTGGCCCTGAATACCTTGTGAATAGAGAATCCAACTTGATAATCCTTTTGAAGTTGTTCTTGAAGAGCTCTGACTGGGATTGTTGGGTTGGATTCAATCTGGTCCATTATCTGCTTAGAGATAAACTTTGCTGTTGCAGATCTAACTTTTCTTGTCTGGAGGCATTTATGTTCGTGGTTGTAAGTTTTTATGAACCAATTACTATTTACATCTGACCTAGAACCTTGTATCACCCAAGGACAAGGGGTAGGTTGACCGACATGACCATCATTAAAGGCCACAGTTCCTTTACAGATTGCCCTTAACCTCATTTTGTCGTTTTTCACAAAGAATATATTCCTTCTTGTTTCCAGTGCATGCAATTGTATCTTTTCCTTTAACTCCTTCTTATTTTTATATTTTTGTCCTATCCTAAAAGTTACCTTGTGTATCTCACCTTGAGAGCACCTAGTCTCCTTCCCCAATTCCTTTATTACAGCTCTTCTTTTCCTATCTATATCAGAACCCTCATCCAATGAATCCCATTGATCATTATCTATAACATCCAACTCTTCATTGACCTCATCACTGTCATTCTCTCTATGCTTTGGTAATCTTTTTTCAAGAAATTCTGCTTCAAGATCTATATTCATGTAAAAATCCCTCATGTCTACTTCTACATCAGGGATGATGTTGTCTTCATCCACCCAGAAATCACTATCATCACTGTCCTCACTCTCATCACTTCTTTCAGTATTGTCTTCATCAATCTCTATGTTATCTTCACTTCCATCATCAACTGCAAAATCTCTCATCTCTACATTCTCATCATTCATTTCATTTCTGTCATGATTCTCTTCTTCAGTGACTTCCTTATTAACTGTATTTTCCTCACCTTCATGAACCTCATCATCTACATTCTGTTCATTAGACTGTAAAATCTGTTGGTACAATCCAATATCAAAGTCATTAGCTGCCTCATCAAATTCATTAAATCCCTGGTTAATATCATTACATGCCTCATGAAATTCATTAAAATCCTGGTTAATATCATTACATTCCTCATCAAATTCATTAAATCCGTGGTCAATTTCATTATCTGCATCATCCTTATTCCCACCAATCCTATCAACACTAACATCATCCATCACCAATTTCTTAATACATGATGACAATGGTTTGTCCTTGATAAATTCCCTTTTTTATTATATTCAGGGGATATTGACAAGGCTAAAGCAGCTTCATTTGCTATCACAGGTGGTATGCATGTTTGTGGCATGCCACTGGGTTGGTTATTAGTTGGGGGGTTTGATGTTCATCGATCTCCTCTAATTGCTCAATAATAACTTTTCTTACAGGTTTAGGAGCCATAAAGTAAGTAAGCAAGTTAGTAATACCATGCTCGGTGTAAACCCTTATCAGTTTATGCTCCTTCACATACTGGGAAAGATTGAGGACATCATCATCATTTCCTAGGGCCCGTAGCCCAAAATGCATGTCTCCCTTTGGCACTCGAAAATGATAGTAGATAACTGGAGGAACTGAGTATCCTAACCCTTTCATAATCGCATCCATCTCGTGAATAGAAAACTCTTCTATATCCACCATATCTACATACGTCACAGTACCCTCAATGTAGTTGACATTTGGAAACTTTGTGAACTCACCTCCATGATGTAGCTTGATGGTAAACAATGTAGGGTGTCCATCTTCAACACAAGAGCAAAAAAAAAAAGTTCAGAAGGTATGATTTCTTGTAAGAAAATCAACAAAATGATCAAAAACAAAATTACGTACCATAAACCACCCTTGGGTCGAATGACGTGCTTGACAACCTTAAGTGCCACATTGGTATATGCATTCACTACGAAACTCGCCTGATTGAAGCTATCAACCTTGTTAATCAGTTTAGGGTTCTTGATCCTCAGTCAATGAGGAGGGAAATTGTATCGACTCACGGTTTTTAAGGACTATAAATGTGAATTAGGCTCGATATTATCCGTATGGCAATGCATACATACGAACTCTCCTTTATTAATATAAAATAAAGGGCATAAATAGGGAATGACCAAAATACCCCTGATTTGACTAGTCAAACATAACTTAACAGAGGGAAACAGACGGAAGTTAACCCATTGGACCAAATATGCAAGAAAATGGAAACTTTGGACTTATGGTGCTAGCCAAAACTTTTTTGGACCAAAGTGGCAATTTTGTGTAAACCACAGGGACCATTTGTGCAGTTTTGTCCTTTAGACATAACATCGGGGAAAGTAGGAGGGAATTAAAAATTGATTTTTAAAATTTGTTGTGTCACAACACAATATGTGACACTAAAGCACATATTATAGTGGTACAAAAACAATTTGCCACTAAAAAATTGTGCCACTAAATATAATTTTATTTGTAGTAAGGGCATGAAGGAGGGTCAAGACTTGATAACGTTGGCAACTTTACGTCTCAAAATGCCATGACATGTCTAGATCTGAAGTCATAACATCAAGACATGCTCAAATCCAAGGATGATTCCAAAATAAGCTACTAAAGGCCATAAACTTCTCAACAAAGAGATCTATCAAACAAATGGTCAAGGTATTAATTTTAGGGAAATCTGCAAAAAAGTCCAAATATTTTAGCTCAGTTTACGATTTAGTCCCATATTAAATTTTGTTTACAAAAAAGGACAGATTACCGGTTAAAACTTCGGATTAACCCTTCGTGGCCGGTTTCACAGATTTAGCCGGTATCTCGTCTTTTTTTGTTAATTAATCCAAATTTTGGGGCTTTTTCATTAATTAATCAAAATTTTAGGGCTTTTTCATTATTTATTACCAATAAATCAAAATTTTAGGGTTTTTTCATTATTTATTCACAACTCTATGATCATCTTTCAATCTCCAAATAAAGAACGGAGAAAATCCTTGTTGATTACGTGGATGTCCCTATTACCTAACCATGACATAAACCGTGGTTCCAACACTTGGATGTTCCTATTACCTAACCATGACTTGAATCCTATTTCGAACCCATACACTATACGCATTGTCCATAGTGTTGTTTACAACAAAATACGAATCCCACATGGTTTAACCACTGATACCTTGGCTCAAGTCTTACATGACCCTTGTTTCCTTACAATAGGGCTTGAAAACCATGAAGAATGAACAATTAAGCTTAAAAAACACAACATAGGTAAAAAAAAACCAACTCGATATTATGTACTGAAAACCATGAAGAATGTTAACTCTAATTGTAAAAAAAATGTCAACAAGCTATCCATCATAAACTATTAAAATATTAATTTGGTATACCTACGAGCTACGGTTCGAACACTCGGATGTTCCTATTACCTAACCATGACTCGAACCTTATTTCGAACCCATACACTAATGGCATTGTCCATAGTTTTATTAACAACAAAATACAAATCCCACATGGTTTAACCACTGATACCTTGGCTCAAGTCTTACTTGACCCTTGTTTCCTTACAATAGGTGTAACATCCCGACTCCCAGGTATAATATTTAATTAATTTGTATTCTTGTTTTCTTATCAACTTGACGAGTTAGAGGCCCCAACTCGCCGAGTAGAGAGTGTTAATGGTCGCGTAATTTCTAGAGTCTACTCGATGAGTTGGAGGACCCCAACTCGACGAGTAGGAGCTGAGTGTGAAAACCCTAATTTTCAGGGGTTGTGTCCTATTTAAAGGACCTTAAGCCTTCATTTCCGCCTCCCTTGTCATCTTAACACTCTGAGAGAAACCCTAATTGAGCTATATGCTTGTAGGAGAGAAAGAGGGGATAATATTGCATATTGTAGTGCATTTTTTGGCAGAAGATTAAGGAGAAAAAGGCTTGGGACGAGAAGGACCTCTTGGATCCATCAATAAGATTGTGTTCCGATCTTTATCAAAAACTTCATCATTTATTGGTTTTTGTCTTACCAAAAACTAATGCATTCTGGAAGCCCCAAATAGACTAAAATGTAATAATGACAATTGTTGTGATGTTACGTTTAAGTCATAATGACAATTTGTGTGATATTACAATAATTGTCATTATTACGTTTTAGTCTATTTGGGACTTCCAAAATGCTTTACTTTTTGACAGAAAAAACCAATAAATGATGAACCATGTGGGATTCATCTTATGTTGGGGCTTCTATAGTGTTGTAAGGAAACAAGGGTCAAGTAAGACTTGAGCCAATGTATCAGTGATTGAACATGTGAGATTCGTCTTCTATTGTTAACAACAGTATGGACAACGCCATTTGTGTATGGGTTCAAGTCATGGTTAGGTAATAGGAATATCCAAGTGTTGGAACCACGGTTTAAGTCATGGTTAGATAATAGGGACATCCACATAATCAACAAGGATTTTCTCCATTCTTTATTTGGAGATTGAAAGATGATCATAGAGTTGTGAATATATAATTTTGGAAAATTGATGGAGTTAACGAGGTTTGTGAGTGAGATTTTTGTTGTTGGGTTTGACGACACCGATAAAAACACACAGTGAGCCTAGAAGAGCATACGAAAGAAGATATGGAATAGTACATATTAAATTAGATCATATAATATAATATATATTAGTTTAAAGGTAATCTTCAGAAAAGTCCAAATATTTTGGTTTATTGGTAATAAATAATGAAAAAGCCCTAAAATTTTGATTAATTAATGAAAAAGCCCCAAAATTTGGATTAATTAACGAAAAAAGACGAGATACCGGCTAAATCTGTGAAACCGGCCACGAAGGGCTAGTTCGAAGTTTTAGCCGGTAATTTGTCCTTTTTTGTAAACAAAATTTAATTTGGGACTAAATCATAAACTGGCCTAAAATATTGGGACTTTTTCGCAGATTTCCCTTAACTTTATACCTTAATATAGCTACCACAACAGAGAAATTCTTGGATCCAAAGCTTATCCCTTCAACCAAGCAACACCAAACTTCAAAATCTTTCAAGAAAGCACCAAAGAAAACATTCTTTACACTCACATACACTCAAACTGATAGAAAACACGATTTAGGGTTTTACTGGATGGAGGAGACGATAAGGGAGGCCACAATGAAACATTAAGACCTTAAATAGGGTACAAACCCCTGAAAATTAGGGTTTCATTTATGCTGGCCTACTCGTCAAGTTGAGGCATCTCAACTCGTCGAGTAGGTTTCTTCACCCGCGTCCCAAATTATTCCTATTCGACGAGTCTGGGGCTCCTAACTCATCGAGTTCCTCTATGAAAGTGAATAAATTATGATTTTAAATGCATACGAGAAACCAGGCATTACAAATTTCCCCCACTTATCTTAAACTTCTTCCTCAAAATCTGCTGCAGCTGGAAATAGCTTTAGGTAGTGCTCCCTCATCTCAACTTCCGGTTTCCACATCCATTCTAAGCCCTTGCAGTGTTGCCACAGTCAGGCTGTCATCCACGTGAATATCCTCTAAAGGCACAACTGTGTAGTCATCTATTAAGCACTTCCACATCTGGGAGACATGAAAAGTGTTGTGGATCTATCTAAGCTCCTCTGGAAGATCCAACCGATACACCACATTACCCACCTGAGCTATAACCTTTAAAGGTCCGATATATCTAGGATCCCACCACATTACCCACCCGGGCTATAACCTTTAAAGGTCCGATATATCTAGGGCCCAGCTTGCCCCGCTTTCTGAAGCGGATGACACCTTTCCAAGGTAACACCTTCAGAAGGACCATATCCCTAACCTGAAACTCCAGGTCCAATTGGTGTCTGTCAGCGTAGCTCTTCTGTCAACTCTAGGCCGTCTAGAGTTTACTCAAAACCTGCTGGATCTTCTTCGTCGTCTTGAGTACAACTTCGGTACTCCCCATGAGCCTATGTCCTACCTCACCCCAACATATCGGGGTCCTGCACTTCCTCCCATAAAGCATCTCAAAGGGAGGTCGATCAATACTGGCATGGTAGTTATTATTATAAGAGAACTCTGCCAATGGAAGGTAGGTATCCCAGCTACCACCAAAGTCTAATACTCATGCCCATAGCATATCCTCCAAAGTCCGAATGGGTAGTTCGCTCTGACCATCCGTTTACGGGTGGAAAGCCATGCTGAAATGTAGACGAGTGCCTAGCTCATCATAAACTTCTTCCAAAATCTAGAAGTAAACCACACATCTCTATCAGAAATCACTGAAACCAGCACCCCATCTGTCACACCCCCAAACCTGAACGGCGGAAACGTTCGGGGGTGGATGACTTCATGTGGTAGCGTAACAAATGAATACATAGTAAAGAAAGCAATACAACCATCATATATATAATTCAAAGTTTACATTTGTCAAAAGTTACATGTTCAAAACCAATTACAATATGATGTCAAAATATGAGATTAAACTGGCGCCGCAGCATCTCTTCTTCAAAAGCATACTAGTACCTGAAATTTACTGAATCCCTGGGACATACAAGTAATTTTGAAAGAGTTGATCAGCATTTAAGCTGGTGAATTCCATAAGTATTTAAATGACAATGTTTAAATGAAATGAAATGTTTTATCTTTTCTTGTGTGTGTTTAGAAAATCCTATATTTTCTACTAGCATAAAAGTAGCCTTCACTCGAGACCAATGTTTGTTTCCAAAATGTATGTAAAAGTAAAATAATAAATGAGTTTGAAAACCTTGTAAATCAATGCTTTTTAATACCCCTTGTGAGTTTTATAACCATACTATTGACTCGAAATGCCTATACACAACGTTCTTCAGGCGTTGGAATGTTATGACGTTTGTCACCCCAAACGGTGGACTGTAGCTAACAGTCAGGGCGCGGGTTGTCAAGCCCGTATAGATCTATACACAAACACCATGCTCCCCT